TTTTTCCTAGGATAAGAAGCTTCTGTTTTTACCTGATATCGCAAAAAAATCAAAAATGGGCCTGGAATAGTGCCTTTTTCGCCTAAAAGTTTATCGGTTTTTAGATATGTATAACAACTGTAGTGGGCTCACCTGCAAACAGGCGTCGGGCAACAATCGCGAATGCGGCGCACTTGTGACAATAAGCAAAGGTCATTATAGTGTTACGACCATACGACGTACGGGAATGAGTTATCAGCTGTCTAATCGTAGACAACACAATGTCGAGCCTTAAACTGTAAGCCCGTATTGGTATTGTTTCTTTTATTTGGCTGTCGAACATTAATTTATGGTTTGAAATATGATTTTATGTAAAATAATTGATATAAAACAGCCGTCTCTTAAGTTATGACCCCATTTCACCACACGCAAGTGGCAGAAATGACAATGATCAGCTGACGCATTTTTCTTGGCCGAAGTCAGAGCGCGCGGCCCGACGCACCACGCGTATTTGGAAATTCCGACCCCGACGAGCATCAGAAGCCGCCTAACAGGCGTGTTCGAAACCGCAGGAGATGATGATGAACGGGTTTATCGAAACTTGATTGGATGAGCATATCGGTAATAGCGATTTCAGTGTGTGCATTTATTGTTCATAGTGGTGTGAAATGTGGTTGGGGTACGACCGACAACCCGTCGCACAGTGGGGATTTTTCCGATCTAGCGCCTATTAATTCAAAAAATATTTTTTGGATTTTTGTTTATTTTTTGTGTCAGTAGGGCTAAGAAATGTCTGAATTTTTCATATATGGCATTGTTTTAACTTTTATCTATATGTCCACAGCAAAACTAGGAAAAATGCGCCCAAAGTTCACACTCATGCGTGATTACTCAATGGGCTCAGCAAGGCCCGAAAATATAGCTCAATTTCATTGTCCTGTCCTGTTGGTTTTAATCTTGCGAGGTCTTAAAGTTGCATATCGTCTGAAAGGCACCTTTATTAGGAATGGAATGGCAAACAGAAAGTATGCCACAACCTTACTAAGGTCACAAAAATGCCCTTTACAAAAAACCCTTACAGACACCATATTGAAGGAATGGTATTCTAAATAAATGTAGGAAATCAACAATGTTTTCCACACTTTTCCACTCCGAAATATATCCTATCGAATTCGCCACTTTCTTCTGCACAAGACAACGCCTAGTTTGGCTGCCGAAACTTGCCTGAACACGGAATATTCACATTAGAGTATCTTAACACCCCACTCGAGGAGCGCTAGGGCAAACAGCACGATATAGGTATGTTCCGGACATAGGCGAATAATTTTACTTCGTGATTTAAATGATGCATATTTTCTGAGACACATTCATTAGGAATAGGATGACAAGCGTAAATTATACATACCGTAACCTTATTAAAGGGACCCTCCCACCTTAACATTAGATTTGAGTTGAGATAGCCAAATTGGTGGCCATGGCCTGAAAATACCGGTTTGGGCACTCACAACATTGAAAAATGCTTTAATTCGGAGATATCGAATTTCAAACTTGCAGTTTTCGGATTCTAAGGGGCTAATGCATTGGTATGCCCCCTTAGAATTTGTGACGTCAGCGGAGATCTAACGATTTTAAATCTTTTACTAAAACGTTTGGTAGCACGCGGTGGTATATGCTGCTTTGCGCGCAACAAATGCCGCACTTTCAAATAAAGTCGCTAGGAACAGTGGAGATCCCAAAAAGTAAACAAAGGTAAAAGTCTAATAACTTGAAAACCGGTGAATATTTTTCGATGAAATTTGGTAGATATCCGTTTTTGCTCTTTCTGAACCGAGCGACATCACTTTCATGCCAATTCATTAACTTTTTTTAAGGTGGGAGGGTCCCTTTAACCATCGCACTTGTGGGGAGGGAGAGGGGGAAGGGGTCGGATAAAACCCCATGGTTTTCCGCAAATTACTCGCGCAAAAAGCGGCCGATCGCGCCGAAACTTTCGGTACCCTCGAGATCATCAATTTTACATCTAACCTAAAAATTTCATGACTCTGACCCAACTGACCTTTGACCTGTGGCATATTTCTCGAGACCATGTTTGGCCGGAATCGCGATTTGGCGTATGCCAGCTCACATTATCCGCGGTTTCCAGTCTTTTTGTGGTTTTAAACGTTCAAATATGTGAAATGATGTTGGTGCCATGCATAATGGTGGGTGTCAAGGTCACGTGAAGGTCAAGTCAAGGTCATTGACCTTTTGATGACCTTGGTTCACTTTTTCGAGTTTTACTTATTTCTAGGGTAGTTTTTGGTGCTGATTTCGATTTTAGCAGCTATTTGAATATTTACGAAGTAGTTCTAGTGCCTTCGTTCCATGTTACGAAGCTATCAGTAGTAGGTGACACTTCTATGGATGGCCGGCAGGACGCCTACTAATTGATCTAACCTGACCTGACCCGACCTGGCCTAAATGCATAAAGACATCGTCTGTGATCAAAACTAACATGAAATTCGTGATCAGCACCCCAAAATACCCCGTAACACCCTAACTTTGCGAAGTTTCAAGAGGTCTCGATTTCCCAACTTTAGTTGGGTCATTAAACTGACTTGGAAAGTCAGCTTATGACCTTGGACTTTGAAATTGGATATATTCGGCCTAATTTCGTCATAGGCAGCACGCTTGACTTTTCCGCGAAGCTCTAGCTTGATCAGGGGCCAAACGGCTGAGCGGGGGGGTCCAATTGAACCCCCTATACTATGTTGATTATGCACATTTACAGGTAAAATTCTCACCAGGACACACCAACCAACATCTCTGCACAATCTGGCTACAATTCTACCTATGGTTTGCCCTCTACGAATAAATACGTGCTAGATCGGAAAAATCCCCACTGTGCGTCGGGGCGAATTTCGCACTGGGGTACTCAAAATTTGAAGAATTTAAGACGTTTCCATGAGTTTTGAAGGTATGGAAAAGTTCTAAAAATCCGGTTCTCCTTATCTGGGCCATTAACTTCATACGGTCCAAGAAAGCTGGCACACTACCTTTAACATGAGATTATCGAGCTGATTTTCCATGAAAATATATTTACATTCGTTTATGTAGTCCAAAACCGTAGATTTCCGAATAATCGAACCATTTTTAAGGTAAAAACTTACTTTGGCATTTGTTTTTGTTCTATTTTAGACAGCTTGAGGCCAAAAATCATATCCCACGTCAAAGGGATCAAAGGAGAAGCTCTATAACACTGGTTCTCACAAAAATGTGAGACAACTATGCTGTTATATTTTTATTATTGCTTTTTGTTCGAATTGCACGGTATTTTACACCCAACATTTCTGTAATTTTCCATTCGCAAGGAAATCAAAGAATGTTGAGCTGAGTAAAATGCATTCTCTTATAATAAACGCATGCAAAACATGTTTTTGAATTTGAGCGGACCGACCCCGTCGGAGGGTCGCGCAGCAGCTGGCGCCGCGCCGGCGTCCCCTCCGCGGCACCCCTGGCTGCGCCCCTTGTTTTCGCTGGCGGGGACGGCGGCGGTGAAAGGAGGGCCGCCGGCCGGGGCCGGCGCGCCCGAGCCCCAGCGCCGCTCGCCGGCGGACGCCCGAGCCCCGGCCGGCCGCTGCCGCCGCGCCGGTCCAAGGTTGCCGCGGCGCAGCGAGTGGCGACGAGCTCTCACCGCGCCGCGGCCCAGCGGCCGCCGCTAGGAGCGCAGCGCCACGCGGCCCGGCCAGCGCTCAAAGATAGTTACAGTCCGCCTCTTGGGTCAAAGTGTGAAAACGTTCGTCGTTTCCACACATCGTTTCAAATATCTTCTAACTGGTCCGCGCTCTTTGCAGCACGACGAGCAGCCGGTTTCGGCTGCGGTACTCGCAACTGGCCTGGCCTGAGGTCAGCCCGCTCGAGCCGGCTGCACGGGTCAGCGCGCTGCAGTACGACCCGTCGGCCGCCGCCGCGCCGGCTCGGCGGGCCGCTCGCGCTAGCAGACGACGCATCGAGTTTTTGGTGCGCTCGGCCGCCGCCACTGACTGGGGGCGCGGCGGTCGCTCCGATATTGGCCGACGAAATGTCCCGCCCGGCTGAGGCGCACGCTGTCAGCCCGGGTGGGCAGGCGAAACTTTCCCACACCGCGTACAGATGTCACTACGGCGGCTCCGGCTCGCAACGCGACCGTGACCACTCTGCAGAGCGGTTTGGAAATTTTGAGTTAGCTGGAATTGGGATCGTCATCGTGTCGAAACAAAGGCACGAAGGCCTGTGGAAATGGTAGAATGTGCTCAATGTGTCGGCGGTTTAGGGAGCCTTTGGCGAATAAACGGCCAGTCAAGCCACATTTTAAAACGATAACTGGTAATTTTGACAAGAACAAGTACCCAAATTTTCATTTATTAAAATAAACACTTCTTGAATGCAAAAAGTGATGCTGGTAAGTTGACCTCATCTGGACCTTCTTGGCCTCGGCCTCGGGGGATGCTGACGGAAAATAGGTTAAAATCCTACACATGTTGCGGTGCCTGTAAAGACCGTCTTGTGCCACACCCAATGTGCCATACTGCGTCATACCAAAGGGGCCACCCTGACTCTTGGCCCCTCGTATTTCCGCCAGATCTAAGAACAGGCTACATAGCGCCACTTAAAGTATTATTTGACTTATCTAAATATACTGCGATATATGCCCAACAATTCTGAAGAAGAAAAAAAAAACATTCAGACACGACCATGACCTGAGCTGAATCAGACTTGACCTTGACGGTCCAGTGGAAACAAGCGACGAATTTGAAATGTAAAACAGACCATGGTTCATGTGTTACACGACCAAAATGCAGTCACTTTTGTTTTGCGATTTTTGTGACCTGACCCTTCATATCCATCGTACATGTCCATTGTCCATCGCATCAAAATCTGAGGACCACTGGGTCAGACACCGTGGTTAGTGGACGCTTGACGCTGCCGAGTCCAATCTCAGTCAACTCAGTCTGACCCTCTGAAACCTTTTCGCTTCTAACCCCCTGTCCTCCCCGTTTCAGGCGCCGGGTCCACCGCCGCCGTGTGCAACCAGTCGGGAGATGACTATCAATAAACAGCGCCACCTATACAAATCTGGCGGACGGGCTGCTGGGATCGTCAGTGGGCACGTGTCGCCCATCCCCCTCCCCCTCCCACCAATATACACGGTGAGACCGCCCGCCCACATCGGAGCCTGCAAGCTACAGTGGGGCATTAGGACTGGGGATCCCCGTACACTGCTGAGTACTGGGGACATCCCTCGGCTCTGCTAGCTGGTGTGTGATGATACAGTCCAGGGAGACGGGCACAGCAGTCGGAGAGCTGCGGGCTCTGAGTTGCAGTACAGTAACGAACATCACTCCTTCATACCAGCGATATTTAACACTTAGGGGATGGTTTGTATTTAAAGTATGTGAGAATGACTGACGCGTACTTACCAGGGTTGAGGGAAACGGATACGCTACCGCCAAGAGAACGCCAATGCTTTGTCAAGTGAGCAACACTGACGCTTTGTAGCCGCACTCTAGTTCAGTGCATTTAGTTTGATATGACAAATTAAGAGCGAGAAAAGAAGTGAGAAGCAGTTCGGTATGTCAGCAATTCAGTTAGACACATTCCTTATACATTGGCACAAGTCAACATACCCGGAGACAGTGGCACAAACCAGACACGAGTTTTACAACGGCTCCCAGCACTCCCTTCGGCGTGGCATACGCTCAGCAAGTGGCCACCCAAGTAACATCATCCCCCACTCACCTCAAACTCAGCTAGACCGGGAGAACACGGCATCGTAGACAGCCGAACGGCGTGAGCACATTCTCGGCCCGGTGGGCTCGGCAGCTGCACGGACCTCGCGCGCCGGCGACGGTGCTGGTATGTGGAGACAGACGGCGACGGCGGCCGGTTCGGCCCCGACCGAGCGGCGCGCCGCACGGGCGGCTCCAGGCGCGTGGAAGGTGGGGTCACCGGTCAACTGGATGACCGACCTTGGCCGTCCTGCTGTGGACCTGTTTACTGAAACTCATTTTCACCCCCAGATCACACTCAGACATGAAACGGTATAGTGGCTCGTCTAATTACATCATGGATTTCGTCTTATTCCTTGTTGCAGCCGATCGAAGTCCGTTCGGCTCCGCGCAGGCGGCTGGCAGTGGCACTGGGTGCGCCCCTGCCGCCCCGCGCCTGCGCAGTACGCGACTGGCTGGTGGCGGCCGAGGGGCGACGTGGGAGCGCCGGGGCCGGGGCCGGGTCGGGCCGGGCCGGCTGGGGAGCGCAGCGTATCGGGGTCGGTCCGCCGCGCCGCCCCGACCGACGGCGGACCGCCGCGCGGGCAAAGTCCCGCCGCCCGCTGCACCGACCGGAGGGGGAGGGCTCCGTGCAACTCTTGCAGGCTAACTCCTGGTCCGACTGATCCAATAGTTCTGGACAACTGATAAATGTAGAAATTTAACGTCAATGTAAATTCGTGGATCGCAGATATCCACCTGGTGGATGTGAACGTCCAGTCGGTGCAGTCCGTCGCTGAGATGAAAGGCTTGTGGCTCACTGCCGCCGAGCCGGGACGAATGGAGAGAGAATGACTTTCCTGCCCCACGTGCTCCTGTCTTTTGCATGTTAGGTTTTGACATTCATGATTCAGTACTCAATAATTATCAATGCATGGATGGAGTGATTGATCATGGAAGAGAGGGAACAATACGATAGGAAAACTTTAAGACACGGTAACCAACTCAATGAAATCGTTGCCAAAAAACCATGACAAGTTATTGTGCGGGAAGGCTTTCGGAGTTTTGTAACTCTGCAGTAGTCTTGCGACGAAGCACACCCACATTTTTTTTTTACTTTCAGTGGAATGACTATGCTGGCTTTCTAAGCTACGAAAGGTCACAAAATTGATTTGGCCTTTGTCTCTGGTTGTAAGACGAGAAAGACATCTGGAGCTCATGCCACTGATTCCTTCAATTGCAGAAACCATTTAACGCGAAATGCGCTATTTAGGCCTTGTGATCTTTTTTTGAACTGCGTGCGCTTTTCAAAAACCTTTGCGCATGTTTTTTTCTCAAGACGTCGCGCCCTACAGGCTTTGCGGCACCAAACACTTGCCAGTTTCTGACGCATCGGAGTTTAGTCCTGTGAACTGTCTCATGTCTGCTGAGGTAGACAGCAAGGTCCTCAATGTCAAGCACAGCAATCCTTGGAGATGTAAGAGATTTTCAGAGTTTGGAAAATAGAAGACTGATATATTTTTTTTAGGTTCTTTTGGATGTCCTTGAATGTCAAATGACCATCTCTCCAGTCTCCTCCCAGTTTGATTAGGGGTGTTCTGTCTTTCTCCAAGTACAGAACACCCTGGTAAATTAAGACATTGCGTAAATCGTCATCCTAAGCACTCGAATATTTTTTATTATGTTATATGTCTAAATGTAAATGGATATGGACTAATAATTTAGGAACCGTGGAACGATTCCAGTGACACCTACGGATCTTAGATGAGAAAATTGTAGGCCTACGTTGTGCATAGATGTCGCCACAGTTCTGTGGATGCGTCCGTCGTCCTTCAGCGCACGCCGGTCGGCAGTTTGTCAGACAGTCAGAGCCTTGTTTGCCCTTCAAAACCTGATCGTACTTCTCATCAATGCAATTCTGGCATGCCCATCAAGGCAGTTCATATTCATCCCAGATTCGGCCCGGATTCCTCCCGAATTTGAGACGCCTCGGATCCACTTGAAACTCGCACTCTTGGGCCCAAAGCATTCGGCACACCCGTCCGTCGTTTCCATCCTCAGGATACTGAAATCCTTTTCCTCCACGCCGCAAGCCCACTCCGGACTGGGCAGGCACCTTTATCTCATGCAGGTTGATCCCTTGGAGCGGCACCGCTGCTTCCGAGGGAGCGCACCCCGTAGCCGGGTGCAGAGAGTGCGGGGGGGGGGGGGGCTGGTCGCCGGTCGGCCCGTCCATTCGGACGGGCTCAGCCCCGGCGACTCTCTAGGTGCCCAGACCAATGTCTCCTCCTAATTCCTATCATTCTTCCGGCTCTGAAATGGTCTGGTCCGACCGAAAGGGCCTAACCCAACAAAACAAACAACAAAGCATTCGGCGGTTCTTCAATAGGCTTGGCCTACAGAGTTAAAAACGGCACAGTCCCTAATTTCCACGGTAGCTTGTTGCCAACCGAGTGGGGCAAGAGCGTTAAAACCGGCGCTAAATTACTCGCCATATAGACACCTTTTTTAAACCCCACATCTCTTCTCTGGTGAATTTCCGTGAAGCACGAAAGATCTCTTTTTAGAAGTGTCCAATCGTCCGATCCTGATCAAATTTGTGTGTTCGTAGGCTTGCTCTGGCATTGCTTGATCTGCCAAGACAGACAAACTTGAGAAAAATCGAGTGACTGTACCTTTTTTGAAGGTTTCTAAACAACTTGTCTGAACTTCACGGGAGAACAAATGTGGGCTTGTTTAATTGTCGGAACGCCTCTTGGATGTAGGGCATTGTTTCTACTTGTCAGGTCACCAACATACAAATATTCAAGAACAAATGTGGGGTTTAAAAAAAGGTGTCGATATGAGTGATGGCTTGAAACCTTTCCCACTACGGGCTACCGAATTGTGTGCTTTCGGTCTCAATTATTCCTACTCTCCGCCGTTCCGTCGTAAGTCGTTTCCATCCTCAGGATAGTAAAATCCCGCCCTCCACGCCTCCACCCCTTGCCCTGGGCTGGACGGGCAACTTCATCCCATGCGGGTAGCTCCATACGGGTATATAGGCGGGTGGACTGTCTCAACGTGGCAATTCGGCCCCTCCTGGATGGTCTCGCCTCCACGGCTCACTGTCGGTGGGGCGTATTTTTTCGGCCTTGCTCCCATCAACAACATGTTCCTATTCGTATATTAAAAAACTGCTGTGCAACTGTTTTCCTTTCGGCTTTAGGTACCCGTATGTAAATGACCTTAAGTCGTTGAGTGACCTTCAGGGGTAAAATCGATAGTGCCTAGTGGAAAAGTAAGTTTCGGACCGCCGCCGTCATGGCGAGTCGTTTAGCGCTGTTTTCAGCGCTCTAGCTTCGACCGCTACAGGTCAAACTGTTAGGAGTGCCGCAAAATACTTTGGGCAATGTCTATTCTACTCTAAGGGCTCTGTCGTGTGCTTGTTTCAAATATATCTGAGGTGTCCCTTATCTGGGCTGAATCCGGACTGAACCCGGTCTGAATAAGGACTGAGACTTCGTCTGTTTCTCCCCTTCTAAGCCCAGTTCGCTCTTGGCTTTGGTTAGTAGGGTAAGGTGCCTAATTAGCGACCCTTTCCGATTTGCGACCTACCTCCCTACAGAGAAACTGGCAGGAGAAAACGGGGTAAAAATATCGTCAAAAGGTCAGCCATACTTTGGTTATCAAATTAAATTATTTTCCGGTCGTCGATGTTTCTGGTGGGACGTTTCAGGTGAGTTTAAATAAAAATGACGAGTTCCTTATCCAAAACGTGTGTGTTTGGGCCCTCTCTGATGAAAAGCGATGCACATTAGGATGATGCACCTTTTTTATCCTGAATCGACGTTCCTTCTTCAGTTGAATGCCGTTTTCCCATAGCGAATCGCTCAACTGTGCACAGCATGGCGGTTAAAAATGTGTCGCAACTCATATTTCCTATTTGCGCCTGACATGGTCGCAAATAGCTCAAGAAGGGAAAGAAAGGGGAAAAGAGAGAAATGAAAATGAGGTATTGCTGAAGCTTGCAATGTGTGGTAGGGGATGCCAAATGTCGTCACCGACTGCAGGGGTGCCGAATTCAGCGCGGACCTCGAATATCATACGAGATAGCCCGCAAAATTTGGGTTTCCGCCTTCTTTTCGCCTTTCGGTGCATCACGTGATCAGTTTTTACTTCCGTAAATGTGTTGGATAAACGTTCTTGTTCGAGTGATTGAGTGCTTTGCGTATAGGTTACCTTTTTGAGATCATATTTTATCTTTTCAGGCGTCGCATTTTTTGCCATTTTTAACATGGGGAAACCCATAGACTTATTAGCGACCCTCCCCGGTCGCTAATCGGGAAGAGTTCCCTATTAGCGTTTTTTGCAATGGTGTGCCAAAATGCTCACTACAAATAAGTTAGTGAATATTGGGGCAGAAAATGACTATATTTTAATAGAAAAATGAGCAGTCTCTCCGAAAATCAAGCCAGTAATACAGTGGCACCCACAGAGCGTGAGCAATGACGGTTCAAATTAAGGGGGTCGCTAATTAGGCACCTTACCCTAACTCTGGGATCATGCGTAAATTAACGCTACCCCTTGCATGTGCTTGATCGGTTTGCAAGTGAGACTTGTTTTCTGTTACGCGATCGCGATGTCTTATGTCTATAGGTATTTTTATATATTTTATCAGGTAATAGATATTTGTTAATTATCGCGAATTGGACGGTACGCCGATAGGCCCAGATTCGACACTGTTCAATGTTCACGGCTTGGGCTTGGCTGCAGTGGCCGTGATAAGTCACCCTGACTGGCCGTCGGCTGCAGAACGCCCGGCAGGTAGACTGTGCCGCAGGGCGTGGCTGCTGTGCGGGACAGTATCTCGGCCGTAAAAACACAACATCCAAACCAAACACGCTTTTGTTGTGGCCTCGACACTCGACAGTGGTCTAAGGGCAGGGGCGGATCCAGAAAATCTCCAAGGGAGGGGCCATTAGAAACCAGGAGGCCCCCCCCCATAATCCCACCTGTTGGAGGCCCCATCTTCCCACTTGTTGGCCCCCCCCCCCAAAAAAAACTGCGTCTATTGAGCTTATCTAGCTGTTCAGGCAACATCTCAACATCTGTGCAGGCTTGGAGGCCCTCTGTGCAGGTTAGGAGGCCCTGTAAAAGTGGTCATCTCTGTGAGTATAAGAGACCTCCAAGTTATGAAAAGCTTTACCAATCTTCTAACAAAGAAGTCTTCTCAGCTAGTCTTCTAAGAAATAACTAAGTGGGTAGGTTAAAAAAAAACTCATCGGATTTCGGCCACTTTATTTTCAGGAGGCCCCCTTTTCAGCTTTTTAACTTTTTAACTTTTTATTTTATTTTTGAAAAAAATCGGCCAAGGGGGGGCCATGGCCCCATGGCCCCCCCCCTTGTATCCGCGCCTGTCTAAGGGAATTATATGGTTTTAGTGAAAACGTTCTAACATGTCGGTGGCCCTCCGGAGTCCGGAATCTATTAGAATTAATTACATCGTATTAGATCTAGTATTGTATCATTCTGGGCCTCCCGAAATAACTAGCTCGACACATAGCAGTCTCTGCTCCACTTGTGGATCGAAAACGGGGTGCCCGGGATTCAAAACATTTTCCCCTTTTCCTTGCCCCTAAAGGAAATTATCTTAATAAGAATTACCTAATTTGCTTTTAAATGGCCATGCAAAGCAACTTACTAAAAGCGAAATCCATTTTTTTAAATTAGCGAAACTTTTAGTCTTTTTGGAAAAAAATTAAATTAAAAACTTCCTGTGGTGCCTTAAAACCGCCTTTCCCGGTCCGCCGATGCTGAAATTTTGGTGAAGTAAAGCGGGTCGCTTCGTTTATTTGTAGCGAAAGCTTTCGAAAGACGTTCGTCTTTCTTCTTTAGCCTGTCTAAAAAGAACTGAAGCACACTACACAGACAGAGTAGAGGAGACAGTTTTTAAGGATGTAATTTGATAATAAGCGTTAGGCAGCGAAGATATGTCCTTCATATTATCACATTGCACAAGCCTTTCACGTATGTTTCAGGACAGAACATTGTACAATGTTGTGAGTTTAAAGTGAGATAGACTTCATGATTTTCCGTATTGAGCTTTGATTGTCAAATGAAATTCTCAGTTATATCATTTACCCAAATCGCGTTTTTCTCACTTTCTCTATGCCTACAGGTCATGGACAACGTCAATTTGCATTACTGGCATCGCCATCCCGCGTATTTTCACGTAACACGGTGTCTGGTCAGCGAATACCCAAGTCAGTGTTTATTCAGCAATTTTCAGCTTCTCGACAAGTTTCCGCCTCCTTCGGGCACACAATCTGCTGTCTAATGAGTTGTGACATCACATGTGACGTCATGTCCGCCGAACGGCTCCACTCGGCGCTCCTCTCACGACTATCGGTGACTACGCCGGCTGTGTCAATAGCCGCGCCAGCCGGGGTCAGCACGCGATGCGATAGCACTGGGGCCGCCAGTGGGGCTGTCGGCGTGCCTCCCTCAGTCGCACGCGCCACGCCGCGGACGCTCCAGCTACGAAGACGTGTGTGGCGTGCTACGAGTCACCGCTGCTGAATGTGAGGCTGAACTGACAGCTGCCGCGGACTTGCCTTTAGTGCCCGTGTGTATTTCGTGGTACGGTGATCGCGGTGACCGACTTTGAGTGACGGCGGTGCCAGTCGGCGACGAGACGACCAGTCACCATGACGGCTCCAGAAGGGGACGGTAACCCGCCCGACGTCGGTGCCACCGATAACCCGGACTGCCAGCGAGCCATCAGAGCAACCACCACGGCTCAGCTACTCGAGGGTTGGTATCTCAGTGGTGACACTAACATAGACGGCGCAGCGGGACATGTGGTTTTACAATGTTTCTACACGTTGAGCAATAAACAATGCACAAAAAGTATGTGCACAGAAGTCGAGGTGAAGGTTGATATCAACGTATCATACCTACTGGGAGAGCTGTAAAATGGTTAGCGTGCGACGCATGATTGTTCATGGTTTATTTTTTTTAGTGATGTAATCGCAAGGTCCTTTTGATTATGGTTGTCGTGAAAGGTCAATGCCTGATCGAAACCAGATGACCGTTTTAAGCCAGCCGCGTCAATATCTATGTGTGGTGTTGAGTTTGTGTTTTTATTTCATACACCCATTATGGGCGTGACTTATCTCGATATCGGCAAACAGCTGATTGAAAAGATTGCGGGCCGACGAAATACCTAAGTGCGCACTGCAGCATATTCCGGAACAGACTGAAAAGTGTTTGCTTTGCCATTGCTGCTGCATTTCTGTATGCAACTCTGAATTGTGTTATCCATTGTTTCTGCTTTTAACGACGGCTGCCTTTCAGATCTCGGCGGCTATGCGATCGCTCTATGGACGATCGCGTCCGTCATCGTTGTGATACTTCTCCTGCTGATGGTGAGAACGACATTGTACGTCAACAAGGCCGCTCCTAAACACTGGCGGAGAAAAATCGTCTGGATCAGCTCTATCTACCCGGTACGTATAAAAAGACTTGAAGCGGTATTCGACGGACTTGCTAAATGCATTGTATGTAGATACAATAACGATATTAGTCCTTTAAGCATGACAAAGTTGACAGATGTATTGGTCTGTTTTGTCTGTTGGTTTGTGTCAGTTCATGTGTTTAGTTTGTCGGTTTGGGCTTACTTTAATTCGTGCGTCTTATTTGTCAGCGGTTTTGGTGTGTTGTGTAATGTCGTGCATATACCTAATTTCTCGGCACATGTTCGTTTCAGTTCGTATGTTTGATGTGCCTCTGCAGCCTGATAGTGCCCGGAGCAAACACTCTACTGAGCGACGTGGGAATCATGTGAGTTGGTTTTTGGGACTTTTAGTTCGGCGATTTAACCAAAAAGTAAAAAAGAAACGTCAAAGTTTCTTAAGGTCTCTGTTGATTTTTATAGGAAGCTGGTGAAAGGTGAGCGCTAGGTGAAGTGCAGCACAATTATTTTGTCAAGTCAAACCATATTACATTCATAGTTTTATCGTCGTACCTATCTGCTCTTCGCCTGCCGACCGCTGGAGCCACCTTCACCCCCCTGCCCGTCTGTGTCTGACCACCAGCTTCATCAGTATCGGCGTCTCCAAGTTCGTGGATCTGTGTATGATGTACTTTGGCGGCGAGACGTCCCTGCTGCTGGCCGTCGGTCAGATCGACGTCCCGCTGTCCGCCCGACCCCTCTGCTGCTGCTGCCGCCCCTGCTGCCCCAGCGTGGCCATGTCCAAGTGAGTCCGGGGTAGAGAAGGATAACATTGTGGGGGAGCATGTCAGTTTTGGAATATTGTGACAAAGAAACCGAGCCGATAGGTTCCAATCAAAATTACTCTGAAATTCCGGTCAACCTGGCTGGTTCAGGATTCAGATCTCGGCTGCCATGCGGTCGCTCTATGGACGATCGCATCCGTCATCGTTATGATACATTTGTTTCTGAGGGCTTTGTACTAACGCCCACAAAGCAGAAACATAAAAGAACGAATCAGCGAGCGACCTCTCTGTGGGTGCAGCCCCACGCTCGGCGCCACCTACGATAGTGCTGTCCAGACGACCTTCCCATACAGCTTGCGCTGGCCGCCGCCCAGCTTTCTGCGAACGGTGTCCCGAAGTGATGAACTTATCGACGTTTTACGTTTTATTATCGGTTATCTGGTAACTCTACGCTTACTCTGCGTGGTGCCCGCCCTGACTTTTCTCCATGTGACCACAATGCGACTCTGCTCTGCAGGCACCACCTGAAGATGATGAAGATGCTGGTTTACCAGCTGCCTTTCACCCAGTCTGCCTACTGTCTGATTTACTCGTACCTCTTCATTGCCAACGTCACCAGCCCCGGACAGGTGAGTGGCCCTGTCACGATGGGTGAGGGCTGAACGACTATTGGTAGTCCCTCGTCTTCAGGGTTTTTTGCAGTCTTCAGACTCGCCGTGGCTGTCATCCATACCCTCGCTTGTTTCTGTTGGCAGAGTAATAAAGGTTGTTGCAAATGAATATATTATTTATGGTCAAGACTCAAGCAGTCCCAGGGTACACCTAAGATAACTCAGCAACACTTTCCAACGCCAAGCACTACAACGTTACGTTCAGGGACTGTGCTTTCTCCCTCCAGATTGCGTTCAACGACGCCTACATCTATCTGACCGTGTTCAACGTGGTGTCGACCCTGTCGGCCATGTACGGGCTGAGCATGTTTCTGCAGGTCACCAAGGGCAATCTGCAGCACTACCACTTCATGGTGAGCCGAAGGACAGTCAACGCTGCAAGCGGTCAAATAGAACTTCATTGTTCACTTTTGTTATTGTGATAATTTCCGATGACGCAAGGAGTCCAGTTCAGTCCATATTGTGAGGAGAATGTTAAGTTGCGCCACATAGCTGGCTGCTGATTGATGGCTTGCCATAATAAATGTTGCATTTGGCGAACTATCGGGACCACTATATATAGTGGTCTATGGATGTGCATGTTCAAGAAGTTACACATCATTATATCATCATCGTCACTTACCATCACACATCACGAACCGACTACCTTTAATTACAGGCTAAGGCTGTGGTCATGAAGCTGACCTTGATCTTCGTCAAGTTCCAAGACATAATATTTACCATCAGCATTAACTACGGAGGCGTGTCAAGCACCAAACACATGCCGCCGCTGGTGTATGGATTCTGTGAGTTGTCTCGCGCTGATGCTTCCTTTATTAGCCGGATGCACATATGTTCAAGTAACTGCGCTGTGACAAGTGCAGCATTCCGAACGGTGACGATTTATTGTGACAGTTTTTCACTTATAAATTTATTTAACTGCTCTTCTGAGTCTTATTAATTTCCTCTTGTGGGGTCATAGTTGTAGAGTTATCTTCTAGGGTACAACTGACCCACACTGTACGTTTGCCATGTCGCCAGATATCCGTGACATCGTCGTTCTGCTGGAGATGTTCATGCTCGGTCTGCTGGCGCACCGTCTATACACGGAGCCGAAACAGTACCGGGTGGCCGCTGAGAGGCTCTCTAAGGCCCGCCTGCAGCCACTGGCCCCCGGCAACTCCGACTCCAACTCCGACTCCGACTGCGACTCAGATGATGGCACCCAGAGGCCGGTGACCGGCGGCAAACGCTACGAGAAGATTCACACACCCGTCGGCGGTGAATGAGTTGGTGCTTGAGCAACAACTAAGTGCTTCATGTTTTGCCATGCGATAAGATAAGCGCTCGTGGACACATGGTGAGTTTCAGAATGGAAAGCATACTGCTGAGTTGTTCAGAGCAAGACCTTCTATTCTCTTCACTATGTAGTTTATGCTGTGATGTATTCGCCAGTCGGCTGAGCCTTGGCCGCCCTGTCCCGCGTGCTATTGAGGCGATTACCTTAGCAAAGCTTTATTTCAATCTTTTTGACTTATTATTTTTTCTTTGATTCATCTTTTTCATGAGATTGTGTTTCTTTGCTTCATCTTTCACTGTCCCAAGTTTCTTCTTATTCTTCTTTTCAAGTGTTGGAACTTGGAAGTGGAACGTTCGATATACGAGTGTTGGGAGGCAATGCTGGACTTGCCCAGCCCATGATTCAATGCCTTTTTAGCTATCATCGACAGAGGGTGCTCCAACGAAGGTAAAGTCCGTTAAGTGTCTATTTGGATTGTAGGGTGCTAGTTTACAATGGCAGTAGGTGGATACAGAATGGAAGGCATGAGCATTCTTGCTACGCGATGAGGGGGAGGTAGCTAAGCGGCACTACTTTTTCCATAGGCATTAGGCACGTATGTGCGTGAACGGCATGTTGATGTACTTATGCATGTACTGTGTAGTGTGTAGTCATGCTATAAACTTGGCGGCAGCTGCTGCGTCTTGTTTTGTAAGGTCCAGGACTGGAGCCATGTGGACCGGACCGGATGGAGGTTAGTAAGATCTTTGGCAAAACCAGCATAATGGACAGCGATTTTGAACAAGTATAAACTTATATAACTGATAAAATATTATAAATTTAACCGCGCATACCGTTTCCGAAGCTCCAATTATGCCTTATAAGTATTTACCATACCATGCTCGAAGTATCTGTCTACGTATGAAAATCGAAAATCCCACTCTTTTTAGACACTGGGTGTTGGCATGCATACCGGTATAATTGATATTCATCGATAATATGATACACCAGTAACACATGATACCAGTAACGCGATGATACACCAATAAGACACCTCGCCACCTCGGTACGTCAAGCAACGATGTAATGGACTTTTACCTACTTTTACGCATAATCAACGTTCCCCGTTTTATTTTGACTGCACCCTGTTAGAGGCCACTCGAGCACCTCGAATGCACCTACACAGAGTGGAAAGATTTGGCTCAAGATGGTAACTTCAAGTTTTAAAAAATGTTGGTGTATTAGGTATGTACCTAATAAACCCATTACCATACATCTTTTCCAAACAAGGCCAATTGAAGCTAACCATGCCGACTTCAAGGAAACGGAATTCCAAAAAATTAAATTGGGAAGTGAACACAGATCAAACAAACATGCAAGATAGACTAAATAAAAACTTCCACCCTGTCCACATGGCTTGCTTGTGATAAAGTGCCTTGGATGCCCAGGCCCCCGCTAGTACATATTCGGTGCTCATCGAACGGCCTCAGAGACTTGTCAGGCCTTAATTCGATTTCCGCCCGTTTGGGTCTGACCTTGTGTGTGCGCTGATGGCCGGTGACTCTGCAGTTTCAGCATTCTGTTTATTTGTGAATGAATGTGATGAACGATAGCGACTTAAATTAAGAAGGCCAGTCAAACTGGGCAAGTATTTCGTTAATTGATGGTCATTCCTTGCATTTTGTGACCCGCTGCGATCGGCTGCGTGGAACTCGCGACTGCTATGCGAGGGTGTCAGAGAGGACAGTATTGTCAGTTGGGCAGCACGCCGGATGGAGCTCAGACAACCACTCACGATAGTTGGTGCTCTCTCGGATGGCTCTGAGGGGTAGGACGTCAGTCCGACCGAGTCGACAGAGGTGGTCACACGCGACCCAGTCAGCACGTCTTCTCGGGAGGATCCCTCCTTTTGGGAAGGCGACTGGATCTCTGGTAGACTTTTTTCAAGTCGTGAATCTTGACTGCTGGGTACGCAGTCATGGTGGCCCCTGAGAGTGTGGACAAGAAGCCAGCGGAGACGACAGACGATGGACCGACGTTTGACGACGTTCTGCGTCTGGCCGGGGGCAGCGGTCGCTGGCAGCTGAAGCACATTGTCTGGCTCTCCAAGACTTGCATCAATCTCTCCTTCTTCTTGATGGGTATGATTTTCCTGGGAGCCGAGCCGGAGCACCGGTGCGCGGACGGGTTCGCCGCCGACGTCGGGTTCGCCTCACTGCCTGCGGACGCGCCGCGCTGTCCGTCGGCCGGCGCCAACTGCTCCCGCTGGGTGTACGACACCTCTGACGTGGGGAACACGGTGGTGGCGCAGTGGCACCTGGTGTGCGGCCGGAAGCCGCTGCTGTCGCTGCTGCAGTCGGTGCCGATGGCCGGCGGTCTGCTGGGCGCGCTCACCACCGGCATGTTCGCCGACCGGTTCGGCCGGCGGCCGGTGACGCTGGCTGGCTCGACGTTGTACGCCGTGACGGCGCTGGCCAGCTGCGCCGTCCGCCATTACCAGCTGCTGCTCGCCATCCGCTTCGTGTCCGGCGTCGGGTGCGCCTTCTCGCTGTCACCGCTGGTGGTGCTGATCCTAGAGATTGTGACGCCCGAGTGGCGGCTGCTGATCGGCCTGCTGATCCAGGTACCGTTCGCCCTGGGCGTGATGGCGCTGTCTGCGATGGCCTACCTGCTACCCAACTGGTGGCACTTACAGCTGGCCATGGCGATACCGACGCTGCTCTACATTATCGACTTCTGGGTGATGCCCGAGTCGCCTCGCTGGCTGGTGCGCACCGGCCGGCTACCGGCTGCGGCTGCCGTGCTGCGCCGGATTGCGGCCACTAACGGCGCCGTTCTACCAGACGACGACGCGCTGTCCCAGATGCTCCAGCGCGTGTACGAAGCCGAGAGGAGCCAGAAGGTCGCGGCGGGGGCCAACGGCTGTCTGTCGTTCCTCGGACAGCTGGTGCAGCTGCTGCGCACGCCCCAGATGCGCCGCTACATGCTGGTGACGTTCTTCTGCTGGCTGGCCGCCGGTCTGAGCTACTTCGGGATCGCGTTCGACCTGGGACAGCTGTCGGCCAGCCGGTACGTGGCCAACTGTCTCTCGGGTCTAGTGGAGATCCCGGCCTACATCGTGCCCTGGATGACGGCCACCCGTTGGGGCCGCCGGCCCACCGTCTGCGCTCTGTTCCTACTGGCGGCGGCCTCCATCCTGCCAGTGGTGGCCGTCCGCGACTGGCGACTCAGTCTCACTCTGGGCCTGCTGGGCAAGTTCGCCGTGACCGGCGCGTTCGGTCTGCTGTACGTGTACACGCCCGAGTACGTTCCCACGCTGCTGCGCACCATCGGCCTGGGTGCCGCCTCGGTCAGCGCCCGAGTCGGCTCCATCGTGGCGCCCTTCATCATCGACCTGGCGCGCGAGGCGCATCCGAGCGCGCCCACGGTGGTGTTCGGCGTGCTGGCGCTGCTGGCCGGCCTGGGCGCGCTGCTGCTGCCGGAGACAGCCGGCCGCCACCTGCCCGAGACGGTCGCAGAGCTCGAGAGCGGAGCCTGGCTGCGCCAGCCGCCCGACTGCCGCGAGACCATCGCCGACCTGCTGCCGGGCGCGCGCCGCGACCAGCGCGCCGCCTAGAGCACCACAGCAGGGGGGCGGGTCCCGGACGGACAGCGAACCAACCGTCAACTATGCAGACTGGAGTCTCGACTATGCGTACTGATGGGTGGGGAGTGCGGGAATTGACCGCACTAGGATCGATGCTGAGAGGGGGAGAGGATGTGGTATATGGTAGTATGTTTTGCTTATCAATGTAATAATGACTTAGCCATATTCGCTAGTCAATAAGCGATTCGCCTCAACAATTGAACGTGTGTGCTGTGCGTATATCGCTGCTCAGTGATTGGTCCACACATACAAAATACAAAAACATGTTTTTGTGGTGCCGGTGGCATGCTCTTGACGTTCTCCCTGAAGTGGCTAGGCGAGAGCATATCTAAGATTGCATACCTATATAAAGCAATATAGGGCAAGAGGCCACTGCAAGACGAACGAGAATGAGTTAACCGTCTTTTATCAGACAACCTATGGGGGAAGGGTCAGTTTCAGTCACTTTCAGTGGAACATACTCAAACTTATTTGGATGCAGGATGACCGAACATTTAGGTAGGCACTGTTGTGGCTTCTCCGGTCTCCCGTCCAACACTGTGCCACACCAGTAAGCAAATTTCATAACGAACAAGTCTATGGACTTACAGGTATATGTATTTACAACTGCAACTCGACCCTCGACCTGACATGACATTAGGGACATGTTAATGTATTCGGGCCTCGGGGAAATCAATCAATAGGCAACACGGCACGTTGTTTAGGCAGTGGAGGCCTGCTGGCTAGGTCTCCATGGCAACGATTTCAAAACAAGGACGCCAGACGTCGACGGTCGTGGCGCACAGTCGACCGGTATTTTTGGGCGTGTGCAAGCATTTACTGCCTATTTATTGTTTGTAAATGTGAACTGACGTGAAGGTTAAATCGGTGTCCTAATATCTGCAAGTCACCAACGGAAGACAAGTCGTCAGCGAATGAGAGATGTCTCTTCCTAACGTCGTGCGTGGACGCTGCGTGGTCGTCGGTAAGCTTTGTTTTGTGCGCCTTATGTTATATGGTCTTGCATCCATGGAAGTAAAATGGGTTGCAGTGACTGGGAATATTTGTCGACCAAAGTCGCACCAAGTTGCTACCAGATACCTATGAGATAAGCTGTCGTGCAAGCGACTTAATGTCTAAGGTTAAGGCTATAACGAGGAGCGGAGGCCTGATCATTTTGTTGGTTTGTTCATACTAATCTTTGGTTCATAACAGTTTATTGGTTGGCTCTGAGATTGAATCCACCGAGTGCCACTTGCCTCGTTTTCCTGTACTTCAGGTGACAGCACTGCTGGCAAGACCGCACTGGTTCAAGTGTTTCTTTCCGATGGCTCCGACTTTCCAAAAAACTACAACATGGTGAGGACTTACTGAATAACATCGATGAACGCTTTGCTTTGATACCTACATAAAAATTATCACTACACAACATTATGAGCGCATATTTAGGTATATCATACCTACTCAAGCTAAAATATGCATTCCTTCGTTTACTTTCGGGCCTGTCCACTGTTCACGTTGTCTTTAGGAGTCTCACAACGCGTTAAAACCTCTCACTCGATTGCGAATTTACCTATGTTTGACTCACGCTCCGTTTGACAAAACGTTAAGTGAAACGGACATGATCTGAGCTAGAAGCAGTCCCATTGGCCACTGCATGACATGAACGTTAGGGAGCCGGACTGGTTTTGACGATTCATTCGCAAATCACAATACCTACGACTTCATTTCTGATTTGGATCGCTCACCCGAAACATGGTTCTGCAGATACTACAAAACGATCTAGCTGAACTGATCACTGACGACTGACGAGTTTGCCATATCGTCATATATATTATATACCTATTTGGCACTGGTAGACAGTATCAAGTCTTTCGAAGGATTCATAAAAGATGCGATTGACTCGGCTGTTTGTTGCGCCGACAGACGTTCACCGTGGAGCTCCATCAGAAGCAGGTGCGGATACCGGACACGGCCGAATCGGTCGAGCTGTTCATCTACGACTGCTCCGGCAAGGACATCTACCGGGACGTTCTTCAGAGCGTGGTGAGGGCAGAGCGAGGTACAATCGGTCGGAAAGAATAGATGCATGAGGGATTACTTTTTTTCAGGGCTAATTTTTATTTACACCAAACAGGTACATTTAACAGCACAATAAAATGATGCGGCGAGACATCATTGCACGGGTGATCCAGATCAGAAGGGCGGGGCAGCGGGTCTAGGTCGGGGCGGACGCATATCAGGGGCGCCGCCTGGCCGTTGACGCCGTTGTGGCCGTTCTCCTGCTTGGACCGCTTCGCCTCGTCGTCGGCTGACGCATCCGAGGGACGCCGAAAACCATTACTAAATGGTTTTCGTCTTGGAGTGTAATGCTACGATTATATATTCAGAGACGTTTCAGTTACATAAGCAGCAAATTTACATGTTCGGGAAGACGGCGATATCTTCTGATGCATTTTATGATAACGATTAGCTACCTGCCATCTTTGCTTATGGTTTACATTACTTACGTCACGAATGATGCCAAATTCCTACAGTCATCAGAAACCCACCCCAATCCAAGAACCTCCTTCATTCAAAATCAAATAATGATGTACCTAGAGCCAACTGCAAATTGTGAGACGGAGACGAAAACAACCGTTTTCGTAAAGCATACGGTTTAATGAAAGCATGCATCGACCGCTGAAGCAATAATTTGTTAACTTCAATCCAGACAAAATTCATAGCTCGATAATTGACCATTGCAGGTTGCTTTGAATGCCTCAAACTATTCACATTGAATTTTTATTGTGTGTTATTAAAAAATAACGGTTTATAAACAAAACAACTTCTCCCACTAACTGCAACTTACCACTGACCTACCTTTATGCTTTTTTCAGTTGAATCCAAACCTTGCTATCATCGTCTACGATGTCACGAACGAGAAGTCGTTTCAGGCTGCATCAGAATGGCACAAGTTCATTCGCGAAACAAAGAAGGACAAAACAACTCTGCCAGGTAGTAAGATCAGATGCCTTCTCCATAAAAAACTCAAAATGTGTGTGCGCAGCTGGGGATAAACGTACAAGTACATTCAACAAACTATAAACGGATAAACGGATTAAACGGGATAAACGTATGTATGTACAAGTGCATTCAACAAACTAACCCGTGGACGTGTTTGACTCGTTGATTTCTTCGTCCAAACAGGGGTGTTGATGGGGTGTAAGACGGACTTAACGGAAAGACGCCTCATCAGTCCCAAGGAGGGTAACGATCTCGCCAACAAGCTGGGCTTCGTGTACATGGAATGTTCTGCCGTGAGTTCTTATTAAAAGTTATCGGCAATTTAATAGAGTTAACGTTTGCGAACTTAACAACAATCATTTGAACCGTAATTGAGTCCCGGTTAGTTTGGGCCATTTTATTTAGCTATTTTATTATGTTACGCGTTTTTAATTGGTATACTTCATTGTTCACGTTTACTTTCATTTTCAGTGGTAGTTGACGTTTCGCTTATGGTTTTTGCATTCATTTGTTCGGAAAGAATTAACAAAGCATCGATCGTTAATTCGTTACGAAACTACATGATACGTATGAAAAAGGACTTGGCACACCTGAAATAGCATCATCTGGAGATATTGATGAACAAACATTCTATTCGCAGAAAGACAACCAGAACATCGACGACGCGTTCTTCTATCTTGCAAACGAGTGGCATAAGATGTACTCGAATGGTGTCAATGCAACCCTCAACGCTGCTTGAGTCGCAGGACCGAGGCGAACTGCACTCCCAGCCATTTGTTTGCGCGCATCCCTGTTTCGGTCGGCTTCTGTCAATGTTTGACGGTACTGGTTGGCCCAGCTACAAGAAGACGTGACTGTCGTGTTAAGTCACCGGTTTCGTTTCTCAATGCCAATTGAGAAACAATCAAGTGTCGGTTTGTACTCAACAACTTATACATAACCTGAATTAAGGCGAGGCGAGGCGAGTTAAGTCGCCTGAATTTAAGCATGCGTTGAGAATGCGCTTGTAAGTTGTTACCCACGTATGTAGGTAGATGGTTCCGTGCATGAAATGATTGACACGAGATGCGCAAAATACAGCTGAGGCGATGGGATCAAAAGGAATGCATATTTGTTGTACTGTGCTGGTATCAAATAAATGAGATGACAATTTAATGGATATTTTTAACCCTCGCCGGCATAGGGGGGGGGGGGTGATGCAACCCCCCCCCCTAAGGTTTTTCGCGAATAATTCGCGTAAAAAGCGGCCGATCGCGACGAAACTTTCAGTACCCTCGCATTGATCAATTTTACACCTACCCTGAAAATGTCATGACCCTGACCCAAATGACCTTTGACCTGTTACCTCTTTTCCGAGACCATGTTTGGCCGGAATCGCAATTCGGCGTATGTCGGCTCGCATTGGCCGCGCGTTTGCAAGCTTTTCGTGGTTTCAAACGTTCAGACATCTGATTTGATGTTGCTCCCATACATAAGGGTGGGTGTCAAGGTCACCTGAAGGTCAGGTCAGGTCATTGACCTTTGGTGACCTCGGTTCACTTTTTCGAGTTTTACATGTTTCTAGGCTAGTTTTGGAGCTGAATTCGAATTTAGCAACCATTTGAACATTTACGAAGTAGTTTTGGTGCCTTCGTAACATGTTACGAAGCTGTCAGAGGCGGTTGACACGTATTACGAATACCCGTCACAACCCCTACCGGTTGACCTGACCTGACCTGACCTGGTCTAAATGCTTAAAGACATCATCTCTGATCAAAACTAACACGATATTCGTGATCAGCACCCCGGGAAACCACATAGCAGCCACACTTTACGACTTTCTAACAGGTCCCGATTTTCCCGGTTTTCGGGTCATTGACCTGACCTGGAAGGTCACCCGATGACCTAGGACCTTAAAATTGGGTATCATCGGCTTCCTCTCGTGACGGGCGACACGCTCGTTTTTTCCGCGAAGCTCTAGCTCGATCAGGGGCCAAACGCGAGGGGGGGTCGTACCAACCCCCCCCCCCCTTGTGCCGTCGAAGGACGCAAAATGGCCTGTGCCGGCGAGGGTTAACCCGCGCCCCGTAGGGCTATCGGCGGACCCTACCACCCGTAGGGGAGGGGCCGTTTCGGCCCCCCCCTAAGATCTCGGAAATTTACCGGCCGATTTTCAAAATTCAAACGGTGTTCGATAGCCTCGCCGGGGAACTACCTTGTGACCAAATTTCATTGACCTACGTCAAACCGATGACGTCACAGTTCAGGTCAAAGGTCGGATTTTCACCGTTCACAGGCATTTCAAGAAATGTGTTGTGAAATCGAGTAAATTGGTAATTTATTGAAAACCATCGATTGTACATTGTTCGTCAAACACATACTTTGCTATCTGAGGTCACCGATACCAGGTCAGGTCACAGCGAGGTCGGAGGGGTGTTCACGGGCACCGCACACTGCTGCGTGCGGTGTGTGCGGTGCGTCCAGCAGGCGTGGGGGTAGGGGATGGGTAGGCGGCTCTGACGTCACGGCTGCGTGCGGTGGACGGTCCGCTGTGGCCAGTCCCGACCGGCCACAGCGATCGCAGTGTGCGGTGACGGAAGGCTGACGTAGGGACGCAGTGGGCGGAGCTTGGAGGCTGTACAGGGCCCGTGAACAGCCCTCAGGTCACCGGGGGTCACAATATAAAAGTCAGTGTGGTGTGATCAAGGGTGTGATACATGTTTGTGTAATACATGTGGGTGTGATACATGTTTTATGGTCCATTTTACATGACAAATGCGATTATGTGGGTTAGGCAGCCTTTGGGGCCAGCCTGGGTCATATTTTGGTGAAGGTCAGGTCAAGGTCAGGTCAAATTAGGTCAAATTTCAAAGTTGATATTTTTGCATAAAATGGGTATCGACTCGATGCAGCTCGTCACGGGGAGTCTAATGGTGGTCTTTGTTCTGCTCTACGAGGTCTAGAATTGCCAAAAATTGAGTTTGAAAATTTGACGTCATCATTTTTGAACAGTTTTTTTCGCTATAACTTGGCCAGAAAACGAGGTATCGATATGAAATTTGGTATGTAGATAGAAGACGGTAGGTACTATCACATATATTCCGTTTTTTTTCGAAACTCAAAAAACTTTTTTGACTTTTCGGCTAATATATCAAAAAAAAATGCTTTTTTGATTTTTGGGGGTCAAAACTCAAAAGTCTCAAAAATCCGAGATAACAGTTTTGTAGCCCTGTCAATTTTGCACCTTTTATTTCTTAATCATTTTTCTGTATCTTCAAAGCTGTAGGCCTGACAGGTCTTCTCGCGAAGGTCTTTTTTCGGTCAAAAATGACAGAACATGACGTCATTCTGACGTCGTTTGTGGCCAATCTATCATAGCCTCTGGAAATTTTTTTGGTCACAATGTGTAAAATTGATGCGCGGAGGGGTCCTGAAAGTTTGGTGGCGATATCTCGAGCCGTTTAGGAGATATCGACGGAAAAGGACAGGGAGGGGCCGTTTCGCCCCCCCCCCCCTACCGGGCGCGGGTTTTAAAAGTCGTGGAGCATCATTATATTTCCGTTTTTATGAAGAATCGTGCACGATATATAAGCAAAACCCCGCGGGGCTCTTCCACCACGACGCTCAGGGGTCTTTCGCTTGATGGCGCTTCTAGCGTCCGGCGGCGCCCGGGGTCAGGTCACCAGAGGTCATGGAAGGTCAAATCTCGCCAATATTTAGGTCCAATTTGGACAATTTTTGACAAACCGGCGCATAACTCAGAAACGGATAGAGCTACAACGTCCCAAAATAGCGCATTTAATAGCCCTGTTAACGATCTTTCGATAAACTGCCCTCAGATTTCACCTAAGGTCAACGGTTTATCCTACAGGGGTCAAGAACCGCCCAAATAGACCAGAGTTTGGTGTTTGTATATTTATTCATGAACAGTTCGTGGATAACTTTTGTTTGTATTTATTTGATAGTTTGCTTATTCCTTCACTCACACGTTCACGAACAAATCTCTCTTCACGAACAGTTCGTGAACGTTAGGACGTTCATGTACAAGTCATCATTTGTGTCTTGTGATATCTCTCGCGCTATTTTTCTCATCCATTGACACTGGACACACACGGTTGCAGGCAAGTTTTACGCTTGAAAAATATAAGCCAATATTATTTTAAGTACATTGGGTCGTAATTTATATTATTACATCGCTCGTATGTTGACTGAATGTGTAATAATTTTGCCTGTTGACTGCACTTTTTCACATTGATTTTTCTTCTGAAGGAATACATATTTTTGCTAGTGACACATGACAACGGGCAATAGTAATCCGCGCGTGTTTGAATCCTTTTTCAATTTGCTTCTGAGCGGAGACATATGCATTTAACTATATTTTTTTGGCGAGGTGGGGTGGGCCAGACAATAAAATGGATACTGTAAGTGTATAGGGTAGGAGCAATAAGAAAAAAAAACATTGCCTCTATGGCGCCACTGTAGCCCTCGGGCGAAGACCTCATCAAGCATTATTGCCCTCGGCTACGCCTCGGGCAATAGGTACAATATGTTTCGGTCTTCACCCTCGGGCTACAGTGACGTCATATGATCGGACAATCATTTTACTTTTGCTCGTTACCCTATACTGTATTCATATAATGATTTTTGCAACGCTAACGCTAAAATTGTACATTTCAGATCTTGTATGATGTCATATATGACGGCAATAAGGTCGTTTGGTGCAGTCGGAGTTTTTTTGCTAATAACTCCCGATCAAACTGAGCTATAAGCGAGTCGGTTGAGCCATCAATTGGTTCAGGAAGAACTGCCACATCGAATGATATGCAGCGTGACACCCTCCAAGCAGCTTTGTGATTCGAGTGGCTTTGACGTGACTCTGACCTGAGGTCAGTATCTTACACTGACCTTATTCAAACAAAAAGTATACCTATTACCTACCATTAGACGCGCTTGGTCACGAGCACGGTAGTGCCATGCAATCGCGGTTCTAACTTCTACCACCATGTGCGGCGAAGTCATTTATAGAAACCAAGCCTCTACTTTGGGACAATTGACCTGACCTCCCTCCGGCGTCACCGGTTGGTCAAAGTCCCTTGAAATCGGATACCAGTCGCTGTGTCTCGAAATGACGCACACTCTCGCTTTTCCCGCGGCTTTCTAGCTCAATTAGGAGCGAAAGGGATAAGGAGGGGGTCTTATCCACCCCTTCTTTACCGTGTTCGTGAGCAATTCATGAACGTTCGCGAACTGTTCGCTGTTTGTTCACTAAAATTCGGCCGAGGTCGTCACATGTTCACAAACACAACTCTTCGTAAACAGTTTGTTTATGTTTGTTTATGTGGAAAATAAACACCAAACCCTGAAAAAGACAATTTTTTTTGGAAACGGTTTTTCTCCAATAGGCAATAAATTTTGACCGAAAACTTGCACGAGCTTACGTTGCATCGTGTTCCTCTCGTCAAAACGGATCGAATGCACTATTATTGACTTTGGAAGGTCAACTTGAACTATTGACCTCAGGTCAAGGTAATGACTTAACTGGAAAAGGTCGTGGTGCATATCTTTCCATATCGTCGAGGTACATAAACACATCAAAGGTTTTTGCCAAAAGCGGCGGTGTTCATCGCCGTTTTTTTTAGATAATCGCGAAAAATCGCAAAGTGGGTGTTCAGGGAGCGATTTAACTCGCACCCTGCCCTTCCCACAGAGGCGACGGAAGGTGATTTGGGAGGGGGTCCTAGTCCAGTTCAAATACGTGTTGCACCATATATGTACTGTGGCTGTCACCGTGACTGTTGTTCGCTAGCATGATGACGCTGTTTATGGCTCAAAAATGTTACAAGGCCCCAGGTTTCTACATAATATTGTTTAATTCAGAGGCGGCGAAGGGTAATTTTGTTGTTTATTGTTTGTTTATTGGGGTTAGGGGCGCGTCCAGAAGGAAATTTGGGATTGGGTAGGAGGGCCGAGGGACGGGTGACGGCTCCTCCCAGTCCAGTGGAACTTAGGCATTACCTACACCATTTACCATCACTTTGCCTATTGTTTTTCTAACGTCATGGTGCCGCAGTCTAGGGTTTTAAAATGCTACTAGCTCACAGCTATCGGCATAATGCTGTTCAATCACACCATAACCCAGCGCATTTTTTTATCTTTATTTTAAAATCACGTAACACGTTGCAGGTAGGTATCACAGGACCACAGTCGAAATCGATCCGAATGTTTTTTTTTTGTGCTTTTTAGGCGCCATGGATTAGACATACGCACACAACACTTGCACAGCAAAATTCCAGCCAATAAGTGATCAAAATATGTGCGACGACATTGACAACAGTAGGTATCAATTATCAATCCTACTCCCTCTATCAACTTAATAAAAACGTTCTCAGGCAAACTGGCATATGCTCAAGATGCAGTATGGCAGTATTGTGGTATTTCATCGATGAAAATTTTGCGGGGGCAAAAACATATTTTTGCCCCCCCCCCCCTGGAAGATCACTAGATCTGGGGTGCCTCTGCTGCCCCCTCCCCCCCCCTCCCCGCTTCCGCCGCCACCGCCTCCCCAGCAGGGCGCGGGTTAAAATATTGTCCACTATAGAGTCTAAACCGTTTAAAGCAAATCAAATCTGAGAAAATTATCAGAAAAAAACGTTAAAAGACCTATCAAATACGCTTTTCTGCGGCGCTGTTGCGCTGTTGCTCTAATTGTTACCGAGTTATGCATGCGTCGATTTGTAAAAGATTGTCGAACGAAGTAGGAACGCGAACTCTGACACTCGATGACCGGTGACCCTTGGTCGTCTGACGTTTGACCTGCAGCTTAATGTGAATAGTTCACTTTCCCGAAATTAGTTTGTCGCAATGGATTTGCGATTTTTATGCTCAAAATCATCAGCAAAGAAAATAAAACTTAAAAAAATGATTATTTTGGCTATACTTTGATATAGAAAGAACTATATTCTATATACGATATTCTTAGGTGTTGTTTTTATCCGCTGGGACTGAGAGCGTGAGATGATGTTTTTCGTACTCCAGCGTAGATGGGTAGCCATACGGCAAAAGATGACTGATGTCATCACTGTCAACCGTGGAAGCCGTATGGCTACCCATCTACGCTGGAGTACGAAAAACATCACCTCATATATACGATATTGTTTGACACGGAAGCTTATGACGCGTTGACCAAATATATTGCGTAGTACCTACAAACCCACTGGCTCATGCCTAAACAGCATGCTGATTGGCTGACAAATGACGATGACGTGGCTGCATTCCTCGGCAATGTACGAGTTAGAAGAATATTTGTGTTACGCTATAGTTTGTGAGAGGTGCCACAGTGTATATTTAGAAAGACAGCTAATGTGCGGCACTTACAGAAAAATAGTGCGAGAAATTGGACTGATAAGAAAATTGATTTAAAAATCCAACAGGGAGAAGAGGAAAAGAAACGAGCAGAGAGGAGAATAGAGATAGAGAGAAGGGGAGAGCAAGGAGAGAGAGAGAGAGAGAGAGAGAGAGAGAGAGAGAGAGAGAGAGAGAGAGAGAGAGAGAGAGAGAGAGAGAGAGAGAAAGAGGGAGAAGAAGCAAAGAGATAGAGGGAGAGAGATTTGAAGAAGACGTCTTTTCAAAGTGTAATTACTTACCTTGTTTTGTACAGAATTGTGTCGTATTCGTACTCGAATAGACATTTTAACTAACGCAAAAGTTTCCTTTATAATCTATCGCCAACTACAAGCTATTTCGGCCGTACCTTATAACGTGTGAGAGAAAAATGGAAACCGCGAATTTTGACGTAAGAATAATTCCGGAATTCGATGGGCGGCAGCCGGTGTTGGAGTGGTTAGAGAAAGTTGAACTGGTATGTCGTTTGAAGTCGGTGACCCAGATCGAAAGTGTGACCCCTCTCAGACTAACCGGAGGAGCGTTCAACGTGTACCAACAATTGACTGTTGACGAGAAAGAAGATGCGAACAAAATTAAATCAGCGCTGTGCACGGCGTTCGCTGCAGACAAGTTCACTGCATACGATCAGTTCACATCTCGACGGTTTGGAAACGGCGAATCGGTGGACGTTTATCTATCCGATCTCCGCCGACTTGCTCTGCTGTTCGGAGGCCTGTCTGACACGGGCCTGACCTGTGCCTTTGTGTCTGGCTTACCAGAATCGGTGCGTCACACGCTGAGGGCCGGGACTCGTGTCGAGTCCTTGACGTTAAATGAAGTGCTCGGTCGGGCACGGGCGCTCTTGACCGATGAGAGCAGCACAGGAGCGGCGGCGGTGGCGCCCCGCCTCCAGTCGCGCGGTGCCTTCAACCGACGGCAGCGACCTCAGCAGGCACAGCGCGACGCAGTGAGGTGCTACAGGTGTGGAGAGGAGGGCCACTTCGCACGAACATGCAGGAAGATTGTCTGTTTCCAGTGCCAGAAGACTGGACATGTAGCGGCTCAGTGTCCGGGAAACGCACGGGGAGTGGAGATGTCAGCGCCAGCCTCCTCTCCGCGCGGATTCCAGGCGCCTTGCCCACAAGAACAGTGAATATCAGCGGAAGGCACGGACTGGCTCTGATCGACTCTGGGTGCTCTAAGAGCATTGTATGCGAGTCATTCTGTCGCAAGTGGACGGCAAGACAGACAAATGTGAAGACGGTGAGCGGCGAAGCTTATCGTTGCGACGGAGTCGGTCCGATCGAACTTAGCCTCGGTGAGGAGCGAAGCGTCACGATTGATGCTTTGGTGGTAAAGGAGAAGCCGCTTGGATTTGATTTAGTCCTGGGCATGGATGGAATAGAAGCTCTGGGTGGAGTTGTACTGGTAAATGCCAGAAGTGCGTTCTTCGGATCGGAGGATGGAAATGGAGGGTGGAGAGCTGCCGTAGCAGAAGAGGAACAGAGTGTGAGTGGTGAGGACGTCGTAGAAGGAGCGAAGATACAAACACGGCTGGACGCAGCAGAGTTGGGCGAAAGGGTTACAGAAACGGAAAAGACAAAGGGTGGAGAAAAAGAAGCAGATGTGTGCAAGAATGTCACAGAAACGGAACAAGAGAATGATGATAAATTCAAGGTGCGAGAAAAACAAACCAGGACTGTGGAAGGTGCGGATTTTATTGCGCGCTATGACGACAAAGATCGTGAGTGGACAGTGGCATGGAAGTGGGCGGCGGGCTCGGAGCCAGAGACGATGAAAGGTGGACCCGCCGAGTACCATGTGTCGCCGGAGTGCCGCGAAGAGTATGACGCTGAGTTGCAAGAGTGGGTGGCAAACGGTTGGTTGCAACCGTACGATGAGGCACGGCAAGGCCCGCCCAAAGGGAACATTCCCCTTATGGCAGTGGTGAACAAAAACAAGGAAAAGGTGAGGCCGGTTTTGGATTTTCGGCAGTTGAATGAGCACGTGGACGCCCATACTGCAGATGCCGACGTTTGCGCCGACAAACTTCGGCTATGGCGACAACAGGGTACTGCCGGAGCCCTGATAGACCTCCGGAAGGCGTACCTTCAGATAAAGGTGGAAGAATCCTTATGGTCTTACCAAACCGTGATTTTCCGAGGAAAGCGGTACAGTCTAACAAGACTTGGTTTCGGTATCAACCTAGCGCCAGTCGTGCTGAAGAAGATACTGGCAGCGGTGCTGAGCTGGGACGCCGAAGTTGACCGCGGCACATCCCCGTTCATCGACGACATCTTCGTTAACGAGAGCGTGGTCCCGGCGGAGCATGTGGAGGCTCATCTCAAGCAGTACGGCCTAGACTGCAAACCCGAACGACTGTCAAACGGTGCTAGAGTCCTCGGACTCCGCGTGCAGAAGGAAGGAAGTGACTTGGTTTGGACACGAGACAATGACATCGGCAGCGTTCAGCAACCACTCACCAAGCGGGCGCTGTTCTCTCTGTGCGGCCGGCTAGTCGGTCACCTGCCGGTATGTGGCTGGTTACGGCCTGCCACTTCCTTCGTCAAGCGGGTAGCAAACGCTACAACAGCGACGTGGGACACAGAAGTGAAGGACTCCAGAGTGCTGCAAATGGTGAAGGAGATCATGCAGCGAGTGGAGGAAGCGGACCCAGGCCGTGGGCGATGGAACGTTAGTGGCGATGAAGCGACGGTGTGGGTCGACGCCAGCTCCCTGGCGCTGGGCGTGGCGGTGGAGATGAACGGAGCCATCGTTGAGGACGCCAGCTGGCTGCGGCGCGACGAATGTAGCCACATCAACATGGCGGAACTAGACGCAGCTCTGAAGGGAGTCAACATGTCCCTCCAGTGGGGAGTGAAGAAGGTGCAGCTGATGGCGGACTCAAAAACCGTCTTCCACTGGCTGACAGATACCCTGTCAGGGAAAGCGCGCCTCAAAACCAAGGCGGCGGGCGAGATGTTGATACGGCGAAGATTGGAAACAATCAGGGCGACGGTGGAAGAATACAACTTGAGCGTGACCGTGCAGTACGTCATGTCGAAGGAGAACCGAGCAGACGTGCTCACCCGAGTGCCGCAGAGGTGGCTGTCTCCGGCGGCGGATGACAGCGTGACAGCGGTTGGTGATGACGTCGTGGCTGCCGCTGACGTGACTGCAGTAGCAGCAGAAGATGACGTCGACGTCGAGGAGATGATCCGTCGCATCCATCACAAAACAGGGCATCCCGGTGTGCGACGGACTTACTACTTCTGCCGGAGAGCCGCCCCATCGGTCACCAAAAGTCAAGTACGAGCGGTGGTACGGCGGTGTGAACAGTGTCTGTCCATTGATCCAGCTCCAGTCCAATGGCAGAAAGGGAATCTCAGCGTATCTGGGCCGTGGAAGCGGCTGAGTATGGATATCACTCATGTGGGAGCGCATCAGTACCTGACTCTGGTGGACAGCGGACCGTCCCGCTTCGCAGTGTGGCGACAGCTGCGGAGACTAGACAGTGCCGCTATCATAGAACAATTAGAACAGCTCTTTTGTGAGCGTGGACCACCAGACGAGATACTTACTGACAACGCGGCTTCTTTTCGGAGTCGCGCCTTCATAGCCTTCGCCGAACGATGGGGCGTCGCGATGAGGTTCCGGAGCGCACACCAGCCGTCAGGAAATGGGATCGCAGAGAGGTGCCATCGCTCAATCAAACGAACCGTAGCCCGCACGGGCTGTTCAGTGCAAGAAGCTTTGTATTGGCACAATGTGACCCCCAAAGACGACATCAACCCTGAAACAGCACCGGCCAATGCGTTGTACAGATACGAAGTCAGACTGCGTGGGATCGATGCCGGTGCATGCAACCCCGGAATCGTAGCGTGCCGGTTTGGGGTCGGTGACCGTGTCTGGGTGAGAGATCCGACACGCCGATGTGACGCGCAAAGCTACATTGGCACAGTCACCAACGTGGTGTCTCCACAAACAGTTGACGTGGACGGTATACCCCGTCACGTGCGTGACTTACGACCAGTTGCTGCCTGCGACAGCCAGCGGTCAGCGGCAGAAGATGAGCTGGGGGGAGCAGCGGCGGATGAGGAGGAACCATGGCTCGTGCAAGTTTCTGTTCGACAACCAACGCTGGATGTGAACGAGAGCACAAACGAAGATATGAGGGCGCCCAGTCACGAGCTGATTGAGACGCCTGAGCTTGAGCAGAGTGGGACCGAGCCTGACCAAGAGGACCGGCAACAGCCTGTCAACGAGCCATTGGGAAGAGGACGTCGCGTAACAAGGCAGCAGACTCGATGCAGAATGTGTACCTGAACCACAGTTGAGATGATCGGAGATCAGGGGGGAGTGTACGAGTTAGAAGAATATTTGTGTTACGCTATAGTTTGTGAGAGGTGCCACAGTGTATATTTAGAAAGACAGCTAATGTGCGGCACTTACAGAAAAATAGTGCGAGAAATTGGACTGATAAGAAAATTGATTTAAAAATCCAACAGGGAGAAGAGGAAAAGAAACGAGCAGAGAGGAGAATAGAGATAGAGAGAAGGGGAGAGCAAGGAGAGAGAGAGAGAGAGAGAGAGAAAGAGGGAGAAGAAGTAAAGAGATAGAGGGAGAGAGATTTGAAGAAGACGTCTTTTCAAAGTGTAATTACTTACCTTGTTTTGTACAGAATTGTGTCGTATTCGTACTCGAATAGACATTTTAACTAACGCAAAAGTTTCCTTTATAATCTATCGCCAACTACAGGCAAGGCACACATTCCTCTGCAAGGCACTCTTTTCGGAACGAGAAATGGAATATATTCGTCTAGGGTGATCGTTGAGCCGTAAAAGCTTCTGATTTGTGCTAGTCTCAGCTCAAGCTACACAACTGCTATTCCAGTTCAAAATCCCATGCTAAAAGTGAACTATTTTCTACAAAACTATGTAGGCATATTAGTTTATTCATGATTATGTTACTAACGCTCATTCGAGCGCCACCTTCCGCACGTCGCTGTGTTGCCCAGAAGTAGGGGCGGCGCCACGGGTTTTCGATAGGGGGGGACGGGGGACTTGCCTGACCGAAAATCCCAAAAGTAGATACTGATCGTATATGCAAAAAAAAAAACGAGGCACGTAATGCCGCGAAACTTGGCAAAGCCCAAAACACATCGAATGGTGCATCCCGTTTCCAAACTTATCCTAGGACACCTAAGATCGATCACCTTTTCAGGCCTCCTTGCCTCTAAATCAAAATTTGCAGTCTTGCCAACTCAAAGCTGGTTTCCTACAAGCTGCGAATTGCCTAGGTATGAGTAGCTATTCTTACGTTTCGTACTTCAAAATTTTCGATCTTACGTCTGGTCAGCTTCATGGCTTCACCATCATATAGTCATGGAGGAAAAGTGGGAATGTCTTCTGCTCTAACAAGTGCGTCAAAACTGCAATATAATTTCAGAATCATGACATCACTACCTGATCCATATGCAACGGGCAGGGTGCAGCTAATGGCTAGCCGTCAGTGGTCATGTCATCGGTGGTCAGTGGTCACTCAAAAGGTCATGCTAGGTCATGGAAGGTCACCAGCCGTTATTTGTTCACACTTTCTGATGGATTTTACTTACCAAGAGCTTCGCGGGAAAAACGAGCGCATGCACCGTTGAAAAAATTGAGTGAAAGGGTCTCAGGTCCGGCGACCTCTGCAGGTGAAATACCCCAGGGTAGGATTCCGGTCCTTGTTGATTAACTTCGTCAAAAATGGCAGTAGAGCTGTGATGTCGGCACCATTGTGTTCGTCATGATCGAGCTGGCACGACCTGCAGTCGTTCTCATATTCACCATCCAATCGTAACAACTACAGCAGGGATTGTTAAATGGCGGGGCACCCCCTTTGGGAGGTAATGAAGGTCTCAGTGGCGGCGGAAGGTAATTTTGGATGGGGATGCAAAGTTTTCTCAAGGGGCCCCTCTGGAAGTTTTGGGCCCCCTTCAGTTTTTTTTTAGTGATTTTTATTGATTTATGAAAAACGAAGGGTTTGGAAAACTCTCCCCATACACGCAAGTTCTGTAAAAGGTTTGAAATTGCAGTGTACCTACCTGTCTCAAATAATGAAAGCATAAAGAAGCAAATGCAGCTAGTTTTTATCGGCTAATCTTTTAGTCTAGCCACCACCCGCAGCGTCTCAAACCACTTTCTGGATCCGCAGTGGACTATTGAGGGCCCTGCGAGACCGTTCCAAGAAGACCGCGTTTAGAAGCCCCTTGGAAACCGACCACATAGAGACTCCTCCAGAGACCTACATGACCCCCAGACTGAATGAGCCCTCCGATCAGGGTCGGTCCCTTGAAAGTTGCTGAAAGGTTTCACATAGGCTCGGAAGTCTTTTGAGGGCTCTCAGAAACCGGCATCGGACCCCAAAAAAGTCTGTATATGGAGGCCCTCCAAAGCCGGGATGGAGGCCACAGGAGCCGATGTTTAGCCTAAAGAGCTGGTATGGAGGACTGAATAGAGGAAAGGGGTCTCAGTGGGGCCTTCAGGGGCAAGCGTTTGAGCCCCAAAAGTATGTGTGGGGTCTTAGAGGCAGGTAGACCCCTGGGGTATGCACGGGGTCCCAGGAGCTCGCGTGTGAGCCCTAATATTCGGCTGGCGGCTACTAGAACCAGCATGGGGATTCTTAGAAGCCGCTTAGACCCACATTTCATGGGTCATGAGTCCCAAGAGTCGATGTAGGGTCCATAAAAGCCGGTGTAGGGCCCATGGCCCCATAAGTTCCGACAGGCGACATTGAGACTCTCAGAGGTCGGCGACGGGGCACCAAGAGCAGATAGAGTGCCTCAACAAGCCGACATGGGGCCTGAGAATCAGTGTGGAATTCCAGGAGTCTGCGTGAGCTCTCGGAGACCTTCGTATTTCGTAAGGTCCACAAACGTCGTTGGATCATCTGAATCTGAACTCTGCGGGGCCCTCAGAGGCCAGCATGTCTCCTAGCACCTGCCTGCGTTGAGTTGAGACCCTCCGAGGCCGTCGTAGGGTTCTTCAGAGGCCAGCGTTGGCCCTTGAAACCTTCGTTAGGCCCTAGAAGCCGTCAAGAGGGCCCTCAGAGGTCAGCATGGCCCCTGGAGCCTGCCTGCGTCGAGGCCCTCAGAGGCCGTCGTGGGGCCCTCAGACGCCAGGCAGCGTGGACCTTTGGAACTTGCGTTGGGTCTTAGAGACCATCGTGAGGGCCCAGAGAGGTCGTCGTCAGGACCCTCAGCACCTCAAGGACCGTCCTGGGGTCCTCAGAAGTTGTTGTGAGGGCCTTTAGATGCCTTCGAGAGGATCATCAGAGGTCGTCATGAGGGTCCTTGGCCATATTGAGGGTCTTTATGGGCTGTCTGAAGCCAAATGGGCCCTCAGACTTGATTTGGGTCTAGGGCCGTCACAAGGGCCCTCAGAGACCGTCGTAGAGGCCCTCAGAGGCCAGTGGGGCCCCTGGAGTCCTGTGGGACCCGCAGCGGTCGTCCTGAGGGCCCTTAGTGGTCGTTATAAGGCCCCAGGGGACAGAGTTCGTCGTGAGAGCCCTCAGAGATCATCCTAAGGGCCCTCAGAGGCCATAGGGGTCCTCAGAGGCCAGCGTGGCCCCTGGAGTCTCCTTGGGGCCCTGGAGTCTCTGTGGGACCCTCAGCGGTCGTCATGAGGGCCCTTAGTGACCGTTATAGGGCCCCAGGGGACAAAGTCCTCAAGTGGGAGCCCTCAGAGATCGTCATAAAAGGGCCCTCTGAGGCCATCGTGGGGCCCTCAGATGCCGCGTGGAGCACCAAACGCGGCTCGGGACACTTCTAGCCGGTGTGGGGGCCCCAAAGACTAGCATGGGGCGTTCCTGACCATAATTGGACATCCCGGATGATTCCACATCAGTGTTCGTTTCCCGATCACTGGTTTTCAGGAGAAATGTATTGGATGGTGCAACGGGCCCCTTGTACGGATTTTGGGGGTGCAAAAAGATATGTTTGCACCCCCATGTTTTTCGATGGGGGTGCAGCTGCACCCCCTGCACCCCCTATTCCGCCGCCACTGGAAGGTCTCTGAAAACCTCATCCCTCATCTCTTTAGCATTAGTGGCTCTCAGTCTCCTTATGGAACAGGTTTCTTGACTGGTCTGTTTCACCCCAGAATTCAAAGACTAGGTAGTCAAGGTAAAACCGAGCGCACCACATGAGCACAATCACTCAAAACTCAAATGATTCCTTTTTTGGTGTAAATGGGGTGTGGTCTAAAACGATACCCACTTTACGCCCTACTTAGACCAGAAGAACACCATCTTAACCCTCTCGAAACCCAAACATACACCCTGTACACCTGTCGAACACCGTTCATACACCCCTCTTGCACCCTTTCAACACCACCAGTAAACCTATATGACACCCGTATCATACCCACTTGCACCGGGTTTACACCCCCTGAACCAGCTTTATGCCACCTTTGCACCTTATGTGCACTCTTTTTACTCTTGTGCTACACCACCTTGCACCCAAATTACTCCTGTTCTACACTCCCTTTGCACCCATTTTACTCCTGTTGTACACCCCCTTTGCACCCATTTTACTCCTGTTTTACACCCCTTTGCATCCATTTTACTCCTGTTCTACACGCTCTTTGCACCCATTCTACTCCTGTTCTACACCCTCTTTGCACCCATTTTACTCCTGTTCTACACTCCCCTAGCACCCACGGTACACCCGGCTAGCACCATCCATGCACCGCTCCCCAACACCACCGCTCCCCACCTTTTTCATTCGCAGACCCGTCACCAAAGTCAGCCAGCTGGTGCAACATTTATTACAACGAAACTTAAAACGAAACGCATAACTAAACTTAGCGCATACGAAACTTAGCGCGGCCGCCCAGCCGCGGTGGCCGACTATGACGAACAGTTTCAGTCTATCTTGAAGGAACTGCTGGTCTTGGATGTCGGCCGGGGGCCGCTCAGTGGCTAGGAGTAGCACTCTGATTTCTTGGCGGTCCCTTGTTTGATAGTTCTCGTTGATAAGCCTCTGTTGAGAGAGGTAGTTCCGCCACTGCTGGTTAAACTCGGGCGGCGGGAGCACCAGCGGAGGTGGGCCGTCCATGGGGCGCTGAGAAGCCGAACCCGGCCGAGGTGTCGAGTCTGGTTGCGATGGCTGGGCAGCGCGGCCCGGCCGGGGCGGCTGTAAAAGAGTCGCCACTCGGCGGGCGAGCTGTTCCAGCTGGTCGTCACCCAGAAGCACCGGCTGGGTGGGCCTCGCGCCCCCGGCACCGCCTTCGGATCGATCCAGCTCGAACTGTAGCTGGCGAGCCACCTGGCTCCTGGTGTTCCTCGACGGCGTGTCGGCTGCTGAGAGTCGTTGACGCGATGTGAAGGGCGTACCTGGGCGGTCGTTGCCCATCCGCTCCTAGGAAGGGCAGAATCTGGCCGCGGGTAGGCACCGTGGTGCGTCCCGCTAGGCCAGAGGGAGATCCTGCGTCGCACTCCGCACTCACAGCACTCACTTCATAGAGGTTTTCACTTTTCACCACCCAGCACTTGGGACGCTCCCCTCGTCGGAGCGTCCTGAGTCGCAGTCACG